ATTCAAATGGTTGTTTTTAAATTGCTTTCTCAATTCTTTTAACAGATAAAACATATTGGTCTATTCTCATATTTGTGTCTTGTAATTTTATCAATTTCAATATTAAAATCATGTTTCAGAATATTCTAGATAATTATTTTATTAAACATTTTGGCTTCCAAAAACATTTTAACTTTAATAAGAAAATAATCATATTTAAGTAATTTCCTTTAATATATTTTGATTAATTTATATAGTTATTAGCTTATGATATTATTGATATCATATATTTACATTTAAATTCGTTAAAAAATATATTATACTTTATCGAATTTTGATAATTTTTAAAGAAGACCATCTAATGACTTAGAAATTTATTTAATCATATTTATTATTTCACAAATTACAAAGGTTATAAAACTCTTATATTGATTGATTAAGATAAGTGTTGTATATTAAGATGATGCGAAATTTAAGAGGGCAATAATTATCAAATTTTCTTAAGAAAATAACTATTTTAACACGAACCAAACTGATGTCTTAGATTTGTTTTGCACATCGTTACTTAGTTATATTTCATAACATTATTACAAGTTATTAAAACCAAATTTCATACATGAAACATAAATCATAATAACATTGTACAGAAGTCCTCAAAAAGAAAAGACAAGATTCATGTATATCCCCTTCAATGTGTTTTACCAATGCATGATCAAACGTTATATTCTATTTTTAAATGTTTATTAATTTGCAAATTTAAAACAGCAATTGAGTAAATAAGTAACTCCTATACACTTGGCTATTAAAACTGTATTCCGATTAATATCACTATCTCAGTTTTGTCTCCTATAAGAAAGGTTATATTTTCATTTCATGAAGTTAAACCATACTTAATAAAACTCGTATTAGTGGAATTCCTCCCTATTTCAATAGTCTCCAACATATTTATCATGTCGATCAAAAGTGTATTTTTTTCTCTATTGGCTATATGCATTTCAGTTTCCGTGAATGCTCAGCAACCGCAATTTTCACCCCCATCTCTATTTCTGTTTCCATTCCATCAGATGCCCGGAATGCCCAACATCACCAAATGTTTGTCAACATTGATGAATATTCCAAGGTTCTTTGCAGAGATCTCGCAGTCTATACTAACCGGCAAATTTGGCAACCCAGGTCCTGCTTGTTGTAAAGCTTTTCTAGAAGCCGAAGCCAACTGCATACCAAAACTTCCGTTCATTACAGTTTTTCCTACTCTGCTAAAGCAACAATGCTCCCGAATCGCTGGTCCTCCAACAACACTGTAGAAAATAAAACAAAAATGATTAGTTATGCTAAATGCTATTTTGATATTAGGTTTATTTCTACAAATTTATTGAACAAAAATACCATTACTAACGATTTTATAATTAATAAACATGTTTCGTTGTTATATTTCAGTTAGTTATATAATTTCTTAAGTATTTAAAATATACGTAATAATAAATATTATTAAAATTAAAGAATCTAACAAGTAGTCAGCTGTATCATTTGATTAATGAATATGTCTTGAATAGATGTAACATTATTTGATCGATTAACAAATTATTTAAATTTTTGTATATTTAATGAATCACACATTAGAAATCTTGAAATGTTTTCAAAGGTTTTATATTCGATATTTATTATTTTAGATTTCCTTATTTCATATCTCAAAGGTTGTCTAGGATATTAAACAATATATAACTTCTTCAAATTATTCTTCATTTCTAATTTTTTTTTACTCATTACAATACAGAAAAACAATTCAAATGGTTTGTTTTTAAATTGCTTTCTTAATTCTTTTAACAGAAACAAAAGTTGGTCTATTCTCATATTTGTTTCTTGTAAATTTATCATTTTCAATATTAAAATCATGTATCAGAATATTCTAGATAATTATTTTATTAAAAGATTTGGCTTCCAAAAACATTTTAACTTTAATAACAAAATAATCATATCTAAGTAATTTCCTTTAATATATTTTGATTAATTTATATAGTTGTTAGCTTATGATATTATTGATATCATATATTTACATTTAAATTCGTTAAAAAATATATTATGCTTTATCGAGTTTGGATAATTTTTAAAGAAGACCATCTAATGACGTAAAAATTTATTTAATCATATTTATTATTTCACAAATTACAAAGGTTATAAAACTCTTATATTGATTGATTAAGATAAGTGTTATATATTAAGATGATGCGAAATTTAAGAGGGCAATAATTATCAAATTTTCTTAAGAAAATAACTCTTTTAACACGAACCAAACTGATGTCTTAGATTTGTTTTGCACATCGTTACTTGGTTTTATTTCATAACATTATTACAAGTTATTAAAACCAAATTTCATACATGAAACATAATTAACAATAACAGTGTACAAAAGTCCTCAAAAAGAAAAGACAAGATTCATGTATATCCCCTTCAATGTGTTTTACCAATGCATGATCAAACATTATATTCTATTTTTAAATGTTCATTAATTTGCAAATTTAAAACAGCAATTGAGTAAATAAGTAACTCCTATACACTTGGCTATTAAAACTGTATTCCGATTAATATCACTATCTCAGTTTTGTCTCCTATAAGAAAGGTTATATTTTCATTTCATGAAGTTAAAACATACTTAATAAAACTCGTATTAGTGGAATTCCTCCCTATTTCAATAGTCTCCAACATATTTATCATGTCGATCAAAAGTGTATTTTTTTCTCTATTGGCTATATGCATTTCAGTTTCCGTGAATGCTCAGCAACCGCAATTTCCACCCCCATCTCTATTTCTGTTTCCATTCCATCAGATGCCAGGAATGCCCAACATCACCAAATGTTTGTCAACATTGATGAATATTCCAGGATGCTTTGCAGAGATCTCTCAGTCTATACTAACCGGCAAATTTGGCAACCCAGGTCCTGCTTGTTGTAAAGCTTTTCTAGAAGCCGAAGCCAACTGCATACCAAAACTTCTGTTAATTACAGTTTTTCCTACTCTGCTAAAGCAACAATGCTCCCGAATCGCTAGTCCTCCAACAACACTGTAGAAAATTAAAACAAAAATTATTAGTTATGCTAAATGCTATTTAGATATTAGGTTTATTTCTACAAATTTATTGAACAAAAATACCATAACTAACGATTTCAGAATTATTAATCATGTTTCGTTGTTATATTTCAGTTAGTTATATAATTTTTTAAGTATTTAAAATATACGTAATAATAAATATTATTAAAATTAAAGAATCTAACAAGTAGTCAGCTGTATCATTTGATTAATGAATGTGTCTTGAATAGATGTAACATTATTTGATCGATTAACAAATTATTTAAATTTTTGTATGTTTAATGAATCACACATTAGAAATCTTGAAATGTTTTCAAAGGTTTCATATTCGATATTTATTATTTTAGATTTCCTTATTTCATATCTCAAAAGCTGTCTAGGATATTAAACAATATATAACTTCTTCAAATTATTCATCATTTCTAATTTTTTTTACTTATTACAATACAGAAAAATAATTCAAATGGTTTGTTTTTAAATTGCTTTCTTAATTCTTTTAACAGAAACAAAAATTGGTCTATTCTCATATTTGTTTCTTGTAAATTTATCATTTTCAATATTAAAATTATGTATCAGAATATTCTAGATAATTATTTTATTAAACATTTGTACTTCCAAAAACATTTTAACTTTAATAAAAAAATAATCATATTTAAGTAATTTCCTTTAATATATTTTGATTAATTTATATAGTTGTTAGCATATGATATTATTGAGATCATATATTTATATTTAAAGTCGTTAAAAAATATATTATGCTTTATTAAATTTTGATAATTTTTAAAGAAGACCATCTAATGACGTAGAAATTTATTTAAACATATTTATTATTTCACATATTACCATGGTTATGAAATTATTATATTGATTGATTAAGATAAGTGTTATATATTAAGATGATGCAAAATTTAAGACGGCAATAATTATCAAATTTTCTTAAGAAAATAACTATTTTAACACGAACCAAACTGATGTCTTAGATTTGTTTTGCATATCGTTACTTGGTTATATTTCATAACATTATTACAAGTTATTAAAACCAAATTTCATACATGAAACATAAATCATAATAACAGTATACAAAAGTCCTCAAAAAGAAAAGACAGGATTCATATATATCCCCTTCAATGTGTTTTACCATTGCATGATCAAACGTTATATACTATTTTTAAATGTTCATTAATTTGCAAATTTAAAACAGCAATTGAGTAAAACTGTAATGCATATACACTTGGCTATTAAAATGGTATTCCGATTAATATCGCTACTTCAGTTTTGTCTCCTTTAAGAAAGGTTATATTTTCATTTCATGACGTGAAAACATACTTAATAAAACTCGTATTAGTGGAATTCCTGCCTATTTCAGTAGTCTCCAAACTATTTATCATGTCGATCAAAAGTTTATTTTTTCGTTTATTGGCTATATGCATTTCAGTTTCTGTGAATGCTCAGCAACCGCAATTTCCACCCCCATCTCTATTTCTCTTTCCATTCCAACCGATGCCAGGAATGCCCAACATCACCAAATGTTTGTCAACATTGATGAATATTCCAGGATGCTTTGCAGAGATCTTTCAGTCTATACGAACCGACAAATTTGGCAACATAGGTCATGCTTGTTGTAAAGCTTTTCTAGAAGTCGAAGCCAACTGCATACCAAAACTTCCGTTCATTCTAGTGTTTCCTCCTCTGCTAAAGCAACAATGCTCCCGAATCGCTGGTCCTCCAACAACACTATAGAAAATTAAAACAAAAATTATTAGTTATGCGAAATGCAATTTTGATATTAGGTTTATTTCTACAATTTTTTGAACAAAAATACCATAACTAATGATTTTATTAATTAATAATCATGTTTTGTTGTTATATTTTAGTTAGTTATATAATTCCTTAAGTATTTAAAATATCCATAATAATAATTATTTTTAAAATTAAAGAATCTAACAAGTAGTCAGCGGTATCATTTGATTAATGAATGTGTCTTGAATAATGTTAACATTATTTGAATTTTTGTATGTTTAATGAATCACACATTACCAATCTTGAAATGTTTTCAAAGGTTTCATATTCGATATTTATTATGTTAGATTTCCTTATTTCATATCTCAAAAGCTGTCCAGGATAATAAAGAATATTTACCTTTTTCAATTTATTTTTCATTTCGAAATTTTTTTACTCATTACAATACAGAAAAATGATTCAAATGGTTGTTTTTAAATTGCTTTCTCAATTCTTTTAACAGAAAAACATATTGCTCTATTCTCATATTTGTGTCTTGTAATTTTATCATTTTCAATATTAAAATCATGTTTCAGAATATTCTAGATAATTATTTTATTAAAGGATTTGGCTTCCAAAAACATTTTAACTTTAATAACAAAATAATCATATTTATTATTTCACAAATTACAAAGGTTATAAAACTCTTATATTGATTGATTAAGATAAGTGTTATATATTAAGATGATGCGAAATTTAAGAGGGCAATAATTATCAAATTTTCTTAAGAAAATAATTATTTTAACACGAACCAAACTGATGTCTTAGATTTGTTTTGCACATCGTTACTTGGTTATATTTCATAACATTATTACAAGTTATTAAAACCAAATTTCATACATGAAACATAAATCATATTAACAGTGTACAAAAGTTCTCAAAAAGAAAAGACAAGATTCATGTATATCCCCTTCAATGTGTTTTACCAATGCATGATCAAACGTTATATTCTATTTTTAAATGTTCATTAATTTGCAAATTTAAAACAGCAATTGAGTAAATAAGTAACTCCTATACACTTGGCAATTAAATCTGTATTCCGATTAATATCACTACCTCAGTTTTGTCTCCTATAAGAAAGGTTATATTTTCATTCCATGAAGTTAAAACATACTTAATATAAAACTCGTATTAGTGGAATTCCTCCCTATTTCAATAGTCTCCAACATATTTATCATGTCGATCAAAAGTGTATTTTTTTCTCTATTGGCTATATGCATTTCAGTTTCCGTGAATGCTCAGCAACCGCAATTTCCACCCCCATCTCTATTTCTGTTTCCATTCCATCAGATGCCAGGAATGCCCAACATCACCAAATGTTTGTCAACATTGATGAATATTCTAGGATGCTTTGCAGAGATCTCTCAGTCTATACTAACCGGCAAATTTGGCAACCCAGGTCCGGCTTGTTGTAAAGCTTTTCTAGAAGCCGAAGCCAACTGCATACCAAAACTTCTGTTCATTTCAGTTTTTCCTACTCTACTAAAGCAACAATGCTCCCGAATCGCTGGTCCTCCAACAACACTGTAGAAAATTAAAACAAAAATTATTAGTTCTGCTAAATGCTATTTTGATATTAGGTTTATTTCTACAAATTTATTGAACAAAAATACCATAACTAACGATTTTATAATTAATAATCATGTTTCGTTGTTATATTTCAGTTAGTTATATAATTTCTTAAGTATTTAAAATATACGTAATAATAAATATTATTAAAATTAAAGAATCTAACAAGTAGTCAGCTGTATCATTTGATTAATGAATGTGTCTTGAATAGATGTAACATTATTTGATCGATTAACAAATTTTTTGAATTTTTGTATGTTTAATGAATCACACATTAGAAATCTTGAAATGTTTTCAAAGGTTTCATATTCGATATTTATTATTTTAGATTTCCTTATTTCATATCTCAAAAGCTGTCTAGGATATTAAACAATATATAACTTCTTCAAATTATTCTTGATTTCTAATTTGTTTTTACTCATTACAATACAGAAAAACAATTCAAATGGTTTGTTTTTAAATTGCTTTCTTAATTCTTTTAACAGAAACAAAAATTGGTCTATTCTCATATTTGTTTCTTGTAAATTTATCATTTTCAATATTAAAATCATGTATCAGAATATTCTAGATAATTATTTTAATAAACAATTTGGCTTCCAAAAACATTTTAACTTTAATAACAAAATAATCATATCTAAGTAATTTCCTTTAATATATTTTGATTAATTTATATAGTTGTTAGCTTATGATATTATTGATATCATATATTTACATCTAAATTCGTTAAAAAATATATTATGCTTTATCGAATTTGGATAATTTTTAAAGAAGACCATCTAATGACGTAGAAATTTATTTAATCATATTTATTATTTCACAAATTATGAAGGTTATAAAACTCTTATATTGATTGATATATTAAGATGATGCGAAATTTAAGAGGGCAATAATTATCAAATTTCTTAAGAAAATAACTATTTTAACACGAACCAAACTGATGTCTTAGATTTGTTTTGCACATCGTTACTTGGTTATATTTCATAACATTATTACAAGTTATTAAAACCAAATTTCATACATGAAACATAAATCATAATAACAGTGTACAAAAGTCCTCAAAAAGAAAAGACAAGATTCATGTATATCCCCTTCAATGTGTTTTACCAATGCATGATCAAACGTTATATTCTATTTTTAAATGTTCATTAATTTGCAAATTTAAAACAGCAATTGAGTAAATAAGTAACTCCTGTACACTTGGCTATTAAAACTGTATTCCGATTAATATCACTACCTCCGTTTTGTCTCCTATAAGAAAGGTTATATTTTCATTTCATGAAGTTAAAACATACTTAATAAAACTCGTATTAGTGGAATTCCTCCCTATTTCAATAGTCTCCAACATTTTTATCATGTCGATCAAAAGTGTATTTTTTTCTCTATTGGCTATATGCATTTCAGTTTTCGTGAATGCTCAGCAACCACAATTTCCACCCCCATCTCTATTTCTGTTTCCATTCCATCAGATGCCAGGAATGCCCAACATCACCAAATGTTTGTCAACATTGATGAATATTCCAGGATGTTTTGCAGAGATCTGTCAGTCTATACTAACCGGCAAATTTGGCAACCCAGGTCCTGCTTGTTGTAAAGCTTTTCTAGAAGCCGAAGCCAACTGCATACCAAAACTTCCGTTCATTACAGTTTTTCCTACTCTGCTAAAGCAACAATGCTCCCGAATCGCTGGTCCTCCAACAACACTATAGAAAATTAGAACAAAAATTATTAGTTATGCTAAATGCTATTTAGATATTAGGTTTATTTCTACAAATTTATTGAACAAAAATACCATAACTAACGATTTTATAATTATTAATCATGTTTCGTTGTTATATTTCAGTTAGTTATATAATTTCTTAAGTATTTAAAATATACATAATAATAAATATTATTAAAATTAAAGAATCTAACAAGTAGTCAGCTGTATCATTTGATTAATGAATGTGTCTTGAATAGATGTAACATTATTTGATCGATTAACAAATTATTTGAATTTTTGTATGTTTAATGAATCACACATTAGAAATCTTGAAATGTTTTCAAAGGTTTCATATTCGATATTTATTATTTTAGATTTCCTTATTTCATATCTCAAAAGCTGTCTAGGATATTAAACAATATATAACTTCTTCAAATTATTCTTCATTTCTAATTTTTTTTACTTATTACAATACAGAAAAACCATTCAAATGGTTTGTTTTTAAATTGCTTTCTTAATTCTTTTAACAGAAACAAAAATTGGTCTATTCTCATATTTGTTTCTTGTAAATTTATTATTTTCAATATTAAAATCATGTATCAGAATATTCTAGGTAATTATTTTATTAAACATTTGGGCTTCCAAAAACATTTTAACTTTAATAACAAAATAATCATATTTAAGTAATTTTCTTTAATATATTTTGATTAATTTATATAGTTGTTAGCATATGATATTATTGAGATCATATATTTATATTTAAATTCGTTAAAAAATATATTATGCTTTATTAAATTTTGATAATTTTTAAAGAAGACCATCTAATGACGTAGAAATTTATTTAAACATATTTATTATTTCACATATTACCATGGTTATGAAATTCTTATATTGATTGATTAAGATAAGTGTTATATATCAAGATGATGCTGAATATAAGAGGGCAATAATTACCAAATTTTCTTAAGAAAATAACTATTTTGGCACGAACCAAACTGATGTTTTAGATTTGTTTTTGGCCATCGTTATTTGGTTATATTTCATCACATTATTACAAGTTATTAAAACCAAATTTCGTACATGAAACATAAATCATAATAACAGTGTACAAAAGTCCTCAAAAAGAAAAGACGAAATTCATATATATCCGCTTCAATGTGTTTTATCAATGCATGATCAAATGTTATATACTATTTTTAAATGTTCAATAATTTGCAAATTTAAAACATCAATTGAGTAAAACTAGAACTCATATACACTTGGCTGTTAAAACTGTATTCCGATTAATATGGCTACTTCAGTTTTGTCTCCTGTAACAAAGCAAATATTTTCATTTCATGAAGTAAAAAAATACTTAGTAAAACTCGTATTAGTGGAATTCCTCCCTATTTCAATAGTCTCCAACATATTTATCATGTCGATCAAACGTGTATTCTTTCTTCTATTGGCTATATGAAATTCAGTTTCCGTGAATGCTCAGCAACCACAATTTCCACCCCCATCTCTATTTCTGTTTTCATTCCGACCAATGCCAGGAATGCCCGACATCACCAAATGTTTGTCAACATTGATGAATATTCCAGGATGCTTTGTAGAGATCTCTCACTCTATACTAACCGGCAAATTTGGCAACCTAGGTCCTGCTTGTTGTAAAGCTTTTCTAGAAGCCGAAGCCAACTGCATACCAAAACTTCCATTCATTCCAGTGTCTCCTCCTCTGCCAAAGCTACAATGCTCCCGAATCGTTGGTCCTCCAACAACACTGTAGAAAATTAAAACAAAAAGTATTAGTTATACGAAATGCTATTTTGATATTAGGTTTATTCTATAATTTTATGGAACAAAAATACCATAACTAAACATCTTATAATTAATAATCATGTTCCATTGTTATATTTCAGTTAGTTATATAATTCCTTAAGTATTTAAAATATCCTTAATAATAAATATTATTAAAATTAAAGAATCTAACAAGTAGTCAGCGGTATCATTTGATTAATGAATGTTTCTTGAATAGATGTAACATTATTTGATCGTTAACAAATTATTTAAATTTTCGTATATTTAATGAATCACACATTAGAAATCTTGAATTGTTTTCAAAGGTTTCATATTCGATATTTATTATGTTAGATCTCATTATTTTATATCTCAAAAGCTGTCCAGAATATTGAAGAATATATAACTTCTTCAATCTATTTTTCATTTCTAAGATTGTCTACTCATTAAAATACTGAAAAGGATTCAAAGGGTTGCTTTTAAATTGCTTCTTTAATTTATTTAACATAAAAAAAAAAAAATTGGTCTATTCTCATATTTTTTTCTTCTAAATGTATAATTTTCAATATTAAAATCTCATTTCAGAATATTCTAGATAATTATTTTATTAAACGTTTGGGCTTCCAAAAACATTTTAACTTTAATAACAAAATAATCATATTTAAATAACTTCCTTTAATATATTTTGATTAATTTATATAGTTATTAACTTATTATATTATTGAGATCATATATTTACATTTAAATTTCGTTAAAAAAATATATTATGTTAAATTTTGATAATTTTTAAAGAAGACCATCTAATGACGTAGAAATTTATTTAAACATATTTACTACTCCTTCTGTTTTTTATTAGATGATGTTTTAGAGATATGCACACAGATTAAGAAATCATTTAATTCTTTATTTTTTCAAAACAAAACATATCTTTTTGTCAGTTCCAAAACAGTTCAACCAATAGAAAAATAGGATTCAGAATTCAAACAGTCAAAACAACAAAAACACAATTAATTTTTGTATTGAAAGTTGAGAACATCATATATTTTGGAACAAAAAATAAACTCTAAAACATCATCTAATAAAAAACAGAAGTAGTATTTCAAAACCGAACTAAACTCTAAAACATCATCTAATAAAAAACAGAAATACCTTTGAAATGGGATGATTATGAGATGCTCTATGTCTGTCAAAACCGAACTCACACTCTCTCTTTCTAAAAATCAGTTTGTAATGCAATGTGAAGAGAGAGTGTGTATGTATAGCTTTATAAAGAAAAATCTTTGGATGTATGAAAGTGTGTTTTCGAAAAAGTGGGTCAAGGCACACATTCTCATGGTCAAAGATGCTTGCCTTGACCAAGATTCAAATTCAAAATGAGAGGGAAGGAGAAAGAAGGGGGAAAATTTCAACCAACCTTGGCACGAGATCGAGTCAAACTGGTCGATCTTGACCTCGATCTCATGCCCATTTTGTCCGTGGTCGAGAGGCTTGCTCGATTGGAGGCTCGATCTGATTTGAATCGAGCGTTAGATCGAGTCTGCTCCTCGTTTCAAGATTTCATGTGGTTGTGGCCATGCTCCTTAGATCGAGCTCATTGATCGATTGCGAGGTCGTTTTGGCGGAGATCGAGTGAGCTGATCGATCCTGTCATCGATCTTAGTTCGAGGATCGAGTGAGACCAGTCGATCCACACCCCATTTGTATTTCAACCTAAACGCATGGGTGGGTCATCCTCTCGCAATCGACTGATTGACTCGATTGTCTACTCGATCTCTTCTAGATCGAGTGACTTCACTCGATTTACTAGCTCGATCTAGTAAAGATCGAGCCAGGACAGGTCGATCTCTCACTCGATCTTTTGCCTCTGCATCTCCTTTCCTTGCCTTGTTAAACCTAAGATCGTGACCTCTGGTTCCCATCTCCTTGTACCTACACACTTAAACTAAAAAGCATAAAATTGAAACAGAAATAAATTAAAAATATGTACAATGATAGTCATGGGATTGCCTCTCAAGTGCGCTTGTTTTACGTCTCTTAGCTTGACTTTACTTGGTTAGGCTAAAGAGGGATCTTGGAGAAGCAACGTGGTGCTCTCCTTGCTGCAATCACTTGCCATGTAGGGCTTGACTCTATGCCCATTCACTGTAAAACTCTCTCCACCCTTGCCAATCAAAGTCACTGCCCCATACGGTAGCACTTCTTTTATCTCAAACGGACCGCTCCATCTAGACTTTAGCTTCCCAGGGAACAACTTCAAACACGAGTTGTAGAGCAGAACTAGCTTCCCTCCTTGAGCTCCTTAAGGACCAGCTTCTTGTCATGGCAGGCTTTGGTCCTCTCTTTGTAGATCTTGGCGCTTTTATAAGCATCCAACCTCATTTCATCAAGCTCATGAAGTTGCACTTGTCTTCTCTCTTGTGCCGTCTTGAGAGCATAATTCACTTGCTTCACAGCCCAAAGAGCTTTGTGCTCTAACTCCACAGGGAGGTGATAAGATTTACTATTGAGGAGGTTGAAAGGTGTGGTACCAATGGGAGTCTTGAAAGCTGTCCTATAAGCCCAAAGAGCGTCATCAAGCTTGCTTGCCCAATCTTTCCTAGTCACTCCCACGGTTCTCTCTAGGATGGTCTTGATTTGCCTATTTGAAACCTCCACTTGGCCACTGGTTTGAGGGTGATAAGGTGTGGCCACCTTGTGTTTAACTCCATGCTTTCTCAAAAGACCCTCAAAAACTTTGTTGATGAAGTGGCTGTCTCCATCACTAATCACCACCTTAGGAACTCCAAACCTTGGAAAATGATCGTCTTGAAAAGCTTGACTACCACCCTTGAAACATTAGTTGGTGAGGCTATGGCTTCCACCCACTTAGACACATAGTCTACTGCCACTGGGATGTACTTGTTGCCCTGTGATGATGGAAACAGACCCATAAAATCAATTCCCCAAGCGTCAAAGACTTCCACCTCAAAGATAGGTACTTGCGGCATCTCATTCCTCTTGGTTATGTTCCCGGCCCTTTGGCAAGATTTACATGAATTTACAAACTCTGTGTGCATCCTTCAAGAGTGTAGGCCACCAAAACCCAACTTGGAGAACCTTTGTAGCTGTCTTGAATGATGCGAAGTGGCCACCATAAGTCATACCGTGGCAATGGAGAAGAATGTCTCTTGCTTCTTCTCTTGTGACACATCTTCGGTATAGGCTGTCCACACCCCTCTTGTATAGATAAGGATCATCCCAAAAGTAGTGAGAGATGTCCCTCATGAATTTCTTCCTATGGTAACGGTCCAAGTGAGTAGGCTCTTCTCCACAAGCCAAATAGTTAACAATATCCGCGTACCATGGTAGCTCTTCTTCCTTTAGGCTCAAGGCTTCTTCAAACCTCTCCTCTAGCTTTGCACATACCACGGTGTTGACCATCATGAGCTGCTCTTCATGGAGTGAGTCATCCAAAGGCAAGACATCATCCACCCTCAACCTTGAAAGATGATCTGCTACACCGTTCTCTATACCCTTCTTGTCTTTGATTTCCATGTCGAACTCTTGCAAGAGAAGGATCCATCTTAAGAGTCTCGGTTTGGTGTCTTTCTTGGAATATATGTACCTCAAGGCAGCATGATCAGTATACACAATGACCTTAGAACCCACCAAGTAAGACCTAAACTTCTCGAAAGCAAAGACCACGGCTAGAAGCTCTTTCTCGGTGGTTGCATACTTCACTTGCGTGTCATCCAAGGTACGGCTTGCATAATAGATCACATGCAGCTTCTTGTCCTTCCTTTGACCCAAGACAGCACCCACAGCGTAGTCACTTGCGTCGCACATAATCTCGAAGGGCAAATCCCAATCCGGAGCTTGAACTATACGCGCGGTAACCAAGGCTTCTTTGATGGTCGTAAAGGCTTGTAGGCATTCTTCATCAAAGATGAACTCGGTTTCCTTGCACAGTAGCCTTGTAAGAGGACATGCTAACTTGGAGAAATCCTTGATAAACCGCCTGTAGAAACCTGCATGCCACAAGAAACTCCTAATCCCTGAGAGAGTACCCAATGGTCTTTCTATACTTCCTCATTTAGATCTTCATTCACAATGACCGGATAAGTATCATTTGGTCCCTAGAAAGGGTACCTTAGCCCATTTGGAAGCTGCTTTAGGTCCACCTTTGGGGCTAGCAGCTCACTCCAGTCGTCCTCTTGGCTTGTGTTGAGGTTGCTGTCCTCGTTCGCCCCTTTTGAACCCGAGTCATGAGCTCTTAAGCTACCGTCTTGGACCGTTCCTACCGCAGAGATCGAGCCAGTCAGTCAATCGTTCCCTCGTTCTAGGCTGGATCGAGTGCACTCCCTCGATTCACTTGCTCGATTAGATATGGATCGAGTAGGAGATCGATTCACAAGGTCGTTCTCTGAACAGATCGGGTTGTCTCGGTCGATCGTCTCATCGATCACTTTCCTGGATCGAGACATCTGATCGATCTCCAGGTCGATCTCTACGCACTAGCCTTCATCTTCTTTCACAACCTTGCGAGAATCAAGGATGCGTACATATTACTGGGTTTGTTCACTCAAGAAACCATACCCCCCATACTCCTTTGTCAAAGCCAGCTGTAGATGATCCTCTTGTGCCAATTCCTCAAGCAACTCATCAGCCAATGCATCCAAAGTTTCTATGTAGAATGCTTGTCTACCAATCGTTGGGTTCTTCAAGACTTCATTGATGTCAAAGTTCAGCTTGATGTATTTGCCCAGGTGCAGAGAAATCTTGCCATTCTTCACGTCTATGATGGCCCCAGCAGTTGTTACAAAGGTTCTACCAAGGATTAGAGGGTCTCTTAGTTCCTCATCCATTTCTAGCACTACAAAATCTATTGGCACATTCACGTTGCTAATCCTCACGGGTAGGTCTTCCAGCATGCCTACATGGAGCCTTATACTTCGATCAGCCAGAATAAGTGAGATTCTGCACTCCTTAAACTTGGTAAAGCCTAGCTTTTTGGCAATGGAGTGAGGCATAAGGTTAATGCTCGCTCCTAGATCACACAAGCAACTTTAAAACTTCAAAGGGCCTAGTGCACAAGGAATAGTGAATGACCCCGGATCTCCTAGCTTCTTCGGTGCTATCTCCTTGTGGATTATTGCACTGCATTCTTGACTCAATACAAAGACCTCTTCACTCTCTTTCGCCTTCTTAGCAAGAGTGTCTTTCAAGAACTTGGCGTATTTTGGCATCATAGCCATACAATCAAGCAAAGGCAGTTTTATCTCAACGTCCTTCAAGTGCTTCTCAAACAGGGCTCTATGCTTCTCAATCAACTGCTTCTTGAAACGTCTAGGGAAGGGGAGCTTTGTTTGTAGGGTGGAGGCACGAAATCTTCTTTCTCTTTGCTAACTTCCTCCACTTTTTTCTCCAAAGCCACTTCCTTGCCTTTCTTTGGCCTTGCAATGTAGACATTGTTAAACGTGATCTCTTGATTGATAAACTCATAATTTAGCATATTTTAGCACTCATTTAGGATAGATTTTGTATTCATATTGCATTCATATTTAGATTATTTGTAACTTTTGCTCCATTTTCGGTTTCAGACATGTTTGCATTAGC